CCCTGCCTTCATCATGCAAGGCTTAGCTCACATGTTAACTCTTCTAGGAAGGTTTCTTGTCTCCATCAGATATTCTGGTGGTCCTTTGTATATGCACTCATATTTCTTGTTAAGGTAGTCACTTTTTTCTGAAAAAAATTTCCATATCTCTCTTCCCACTAAACAATATGTTCCCTGAAGGGCAGGGACATACAGCCAGTAAGTAGTGAAACCTTACTTCAATCTGGCTTGATTTAATCCTCAATTCAATGCTCTTTTCATCCGACCACTATATCATCATAAATTATGTCAATACTTCTAAACTTAAACCTTTGACAGTACAGCAATGTGCTCTATTGTTAGCCCCTCTCTAAAATGAATTAAGAAACTTCAATCTTCCCCACATCCATTAAAATCTTCTCTCAAGGGAAGGGGTTAAAATGTTGGTGCAGTGTGCTAGGCCACCGGCTCCTGAATGACTATGTATGGACTGACTACTTCAAGGTGCATCATGCCTTCTGCTTGCATCATGCCTTAGAAAAACAGCTCTGAGCAGACACCAACAAGTTAGAGCAGGAAAACACCAGCAACATTCAGAATTCTACGTGAGCTTTGAAGAGAAATTCCTGCAGACTTACTATTTATCCTCCCACCTCCTTAAAACAAACATAGATTAATTTGCACTTGCTATTACTTTTGAGAGACAACTGCCCCTCTTACAAAACACATCCCTTGGTCAATAAAACAGAAGTGAGAGTGGGCAAGGAAAGGAATGAGGAGAGAGTTAAAAGGGAAAAAGAAAATACAATTACGAAACTGGAGATCATTAGTATTAAGAAAGTTCTAAATGCCTCTTTATGGGAAGAAAAGTTCTGAGTAGGCAAAAGGTCAAGGAGTAGATCCTGTTGAAAACTTAATAGGGACAAAAAATTAAGACAGAATTCAAAGAAGCGGGCAATTAAGTATATCTAACACACACAAAAGTGGAAATAAAATCTCTTGTAAGCTGCCTTTACTAATGCAGAAAATACATGAATTGACAAAGATTCGCAAACGCTGAGGAAACTGACAATCGTTGGGAAGGAGAACAGAGACAAGGGAGAAGGTACATGGGGTGAGGTTATGAAAAAGAAAAGAATTAAAATGGGAGCAAGAGGCACATGCTTGCAAAGCTAAAAGCATACTGCAAAATAAAAACAGCAAGCTTTGTTAATCCCAATAGTGAGTTTCCAATGATTGATCAATGGCCCTACTTCAGACCTCATAGTAGAATCTTTTTTTTAATAGACTAGCATTGAAAAAAATAAAAATTTTAAGCTGAGCCCTGAGAATCCATCTTCCTTTTACAGTGGATACTTAAAATGAAAAACATTCAAAACACAATAATAAGATATCTTTTCCTATTAAGATGGCAAAGATTTTTTAAAACCCAGGCAAAGAAGGTGCAGAGAAAAAAAAGTTACTCTCCTGAATTGTTAGTAAGTTTGTAAATTAGTACCTTCTTTCTAGTGGGAGTTAGACAAGCTGTATTAAAATGTAAAATGTACATATCTAACTATGCAGAATTCCCTCCTTTAATTATTTAAACTATCAGCACTTATCCTCGTGTCAATACTAAAGATAAGTACAAGAAGAAATTTATTACGTAGTCTTACTTACAAAATTTAAATACAATCTGATATTCATTATATAAAACTAGTTCAATTAATTACACACATATGTGCAAGCATGTACTATGTACTGAAAAGGATGGCAAGAATTTATATTTATGGCCATGGAACATACTGGCAAGAGAAGACAGTAGGTTATAAAACAACAGGTTGCCCCATACAGGTGCCTCCCCACAAGATGGTGGCCTGAGAGTCCTGGGCCAGTGCTTCCTGCCTACAGCTGTCAGCCTGACCTTGCTCTACCTCAGGAAGGTTGTTTGGTCATTATGAAATGACCAAAAAATTCCTAGGAAATTCCTAGGAAATGCTGTGTCCTTGACAAGACATATAAGCCACGTCAGCTGCCTCCCATCCACAGTGCAATCACCTTAGATGTCAAGAAGTCCTATGCCCTACAAGGGAATTATGAAATATACAGTGTTTGGATTTCACTCTGTGGTTCTAACAGGAGTGAAATACACAGCTTGAATGTCTTGAGCACCTCGTCAAATGTGTCATTTCAATTGTGAACATGGCAATAACTGTTCACAGATCTAAAATCAATGATGAAATCCCAAAATGCTTCTTTCATTTGAAACAATGAAATAAATATCTAATTTTGCCTAAGCAGAATAACTCTTTTTAGAGAGCTACTGTTAGACTGTTTTCCTATGATTACTCTCTATCAAGAACTATGGTGAAAAAAAAATCTGCATATGTAGTAGAAAATCTGCATATGTAAAGGTGATATACAGAGATAGAGATGACTAAAAGAAAGCTTGCCGTTGTTAACATTTTAGTGACTTCTGAGTGGTAGAATTTGGGGAGACTTAAATTTTTTATTTTTTATATTCTATACAGTATGAATTTTTTTAATCAGCATCATTTTTTACAGCAATAGAATAACAAACTAAAAGCTACTTTTAAAAAAGCAAACAAATGCTGAGAAAATTGCGTATCTGCATATTGAAGTCTGTAACTAGAGTGGTGTCTTTCACCCTGTATAATTTTCAACATGGGCCAAAGAGGGATGGCAGAGTGGCTCAAATGTAAGAGCCCTTGCAGCCCAGAGTTCAAACCCTAATACACCAAAGAAAAAACATAGATCAAGACCTTAATACAAGGCCTGTAAGAAATTAGTGCAGGAAACGATAGGGAATACAACTGAACATATAGGCATAGACAATCACTTCCTAAATAGCTCAGCAATTAAGAGAAAGGATTGACAAATGGGACTGCATGAAACTAGAAAGCTTCTACACAGCAAAGGAAATGATCACTAGACTGAAGAGACAGCCCACAGAATGGGAGAAAATCTTTGCCAGCTATACATCTGACAAGAGATTAATAACACAGAATTTACAGAGAGCTCAAAAAAACTGAAGAATCAATGACCTAATGAAGAAATGGCCATATGAACTGAACAGAACTTTTCAAAGAAGAAAATACAAATGGTCAAAAAACACGTGAAGAAATACTCAACATCCCTGGCCATAAAGGAAATGCAAATCAAAACCACATTAGGATTCCACCTCACTCCAAACAAATGTTAGCAAGGACTGGTGCAAGTGTGTGAGGGGAAAGAGCCCTTATACATTATTGGTGGGAATGTAAATTAATATAACCACTATGGCAAGCAGTATGGAGGCTTCTCAAAAAACTAAAAAGAGAACTACCATATGAACCTGCTATACCACTCCTAGGCATATACAAAGGAATGTAAGTCAGGATACAAAAAAGACACTTGCACATCCATGTTCACAATAGCCAAGCAAGCTATGGAAAAAGCCCAGATGCCCTATGACTGATGAATGGACTAAGAAAATGTGATGTATAAAATTTTATTCTTTATGGCTGAATAATATTCAATAAAGAATAAAATTTTGACATTCATAGGTAAATGACTGGAACTGGAGAGTATCATGTTAAGTGAAGTTAGCCAGGTTCAGAAAGACAAAGGTCACATGTTTTCTCTCATATGTGGAAGACAGACCAAAATACAAATATATGCATTATCATATATACATACATAAACATATATACATACTTCACATATATATATATGGAACATGTTTCTAAAAGTGGAACTGCTAGAGGAGACTAAGAGAGGAGGAAAAGAAGAAAAGAATGATAGGGAGTAAATAATACTGAAATACATTACACTTGTGTAGGAGCAAGACATAACGAAACACACTGAAAACTGTTGGACAACACGGGGAAAGGGAAAAGGGTGAGGAAGAGTAATGGAATGAGTTAGACTGATTAAAGTACAATGTATTTACAGGTAAAATATCAAGGCAAACCCACACTGAACAAGGAACAGACACTAAAACAATGAAAGACAGGAACAGAACGCAGGTCATGTTAAGGGGAAAGTAATAGTGGGAGAGGGAGGGTAAATGAAGAGGATGAAGGAGGGTGAATACATGTATGAATATGGAACACTGAAACCTGTTGAAGTCATTTCAAGAAAGGGAGTAGGAGAGAGAGATTAATGGAGGGAATGAGGAAATGAGTCAAACCAGGATATAGTATATATATGGAAATGTCACAACAAAACCCCCTGTAAAACAAACAAACAAACAAACAAACATACATACAATTCCTTTTTAAAAAAGATTTTGATATTGTGTACATTAAAGGCTCATTTAAAATAGTCTTTGGAATGATTCTAGGTAAATCTTTTTAATTCAGAAGGCAGTTATACCAAAATAAGTGAAAACTTTATCCAAATCAAATATTTCCCTGACAAAGAGGCCTGAGGAAAAAGTGATTTTTCATTTTTATATTTTGGTATACCGGGTTTGAATGCAGGACCTTGTTTGCTAGGCAAGTGACCTGCCACTTGAGGGACACTTCCTATCCTTCTTGCTTTGGGTATTTTTCAGATAGGGTCTCAACTTTTGCCCCAGGGCTGGCCTTGGACCACAGTCCTCCTATCTATGCCAGCATGTAGGTGGGATTATAGGTAGCTGGGATTACAGATATGCACCACCATGCCTGCCTCGTTTTTGAGAGATGGTCTCACTAACTTTTTTCCTTGCCATGGCTTGCCTCAAATCACAGTTTTCCCAAGCTCTGCCTCCTGAGTTTCTGAGATTACAGTCATAAGCCACCAACACCTGGTCAAGAGTGATGATTTTAAACAGCACTTATTATAGTTCTTTAACTCAAATCTGGAGATATCTACATTATTGAAATTCGAGTTTATTAGAATACAAGAAAAAACTGATACTCAGAAATCTAAAACACACTCAGTACTTCACAACATGACATAAAATTTCAATTTACGCCCTCTCACAGCAACACCTGACACCTGTGTTCAACTTCCTAGCCTTGGGGGTCTCTGGTAATATTTGACACAGCTCTTACCTCTTCAAGCTTCTTCTCAATCTCCTTAAAGACAAGGTTTGCCTTGAATCCATCACCTGCTGAGCTGGTGGGCACAGCCTGAATCTGATGTGATCTAAAGGAATTAGGGAAAAGAATCCATTTCAATTCACTGTGCCATGTAGGTACTAGAGTTTTCAACATTTTTACAATAGTAACTTTCAAAAACCCTAAGAATAGAGATATCATAACTCTTATCTAAAGAAAATCTTTAGTAAGCAGGTAATTAATCCTTTCTTACCTTGTTCAAACAAATACTGAGTGTTCATTGGATGCTAAGCATTGTTCTTTTTCTTTTTGGTGGGACTGGGGTTTGAACTCAGGGCTTCACGCTTGCAAAGCAGGTACTCTACCACTTGAGCCACATCTCCAGTCCATTTTTGCTCTGGCCATTCCCTCCTGTGGTCATCTTTCAGTGACCTTGGATTCCAGGAACCACAGGATTGAGGAATAAATATCTAGTGACAAGTGAAACTAACACCCTCCCCCCCTCAAACAATGACTTTCTCTTTGGGAACAACGCCTGCCTGACCAATTCTGATATAATGATCAACCTGATCACACCTCTGACCACTAGATCATAAATCTGACCAAGACTGTACAATTACACATACTTCTTCTCCCACCCCACCCAATTCTTCCTCTACTTAAACCTAAAGTTCATGTCTGTACCTCAAAGATGGGTTCAAGTATTGCTTTCTACCCTCTTCTCACACAGCTGGGGTGTTAATAAATCTCTTTTCTGTGACCTTCACCACTACTCATCTTTTTAATTAGTGAATTGGATGAGTGGCTAGACCTAACATTTGTGGTTCTTGGAGTTGAGACTGTGGCCTAGGACTCTGGTTACACACCCAGCCCTAATCCATTTCTCTTTCCCCTTCCCTTGCCCTTTATCGTTTCATAAACATCTAGTGACTGCTTGCCACATGCCAGGTAAGATATGTTTAAGGCACTCCCCAGTGAACCTGTCAGTCCCAGTCCCTGCCCTCACTGAGTTTCTATTCCACTGGAGAAGAAAAAGGAGTACATATGCAAAAAAACCCACCAACTGTAGCAAGTAGTAGGATGCAAATGAAAGGAGGAACCCACTTTAAGTGGGTCAAGGAATGATCTATGGACAGTCTGCCAAAGGAGATGGAGAGAGAGAAGAAAGCAGATTCAACACAAAAATAGAATCCATGGGCTTTGCTACCAGGGAAGAAGGAGATCTAAAGGGATGAGAAAAGAGCAAGGACAATTCGGGCGTTTGAGAGAAACTGGGGGTGACAGAGTCATGAACTGAGATAAGGAATAGCTCAGCAGGAGTAGAGACTGACATTCTGTTTCATGCACAGCCAGTAAGGGTGTCTGTGAGACCAGAAAGCAATCAGATATGAGAGTCTAGAGCTCAGAGGGGAAGTCTAAGGCTGGAGACACTAAAGGAATAACTGCTAGCATAACGAAAGTATCTAAGTCCCTGGAGTAGGTGTGAAGGCATTATAGAGAAAGAAGAGGGCCCAAGACAATACCTTTGGAACTCTATTGTTTTGAGGTCTGGGACAGAAGGGGAAGCAAGCAACTATGAGAACTCAAGCAGACATCCAGGAAAGCACTGAGGGTGTCACAGAAGCCCAGAGGGGATGAAGTCCAGGAGGGAGGAGTAAACTATGTCCAAGGCTGCCAAAAGGTCAAGTACCACTAGATTTGACAATGGGGAAGGTACAGATGATCTTGACAAAAGCAGGTTAAGTGGTGGAGGGTGGAAATCAGTAGTAGTGAATTGAAGAGTGAGCAGGAGAGGGAAATAGACAATGTGGCTCCTCAGAGACACCCTTTTATGGGAAGTGTGAAATGATGAGATCTCTGGAGGGCAGCATGGTATCAAGGAAGGTTATTTGCTTGTTTGGGAGTGGGATAAAAATGACATCTTTGACTCTGAAATATAGCATTTCCTTCTGGATGAAGGCACATAAGAATCTTATAACTTTAAATCTTTTCTAATTTTTAATTGTGTTAAAATACACAACATAAAAATTTTAACATCCTAGCCATTTTTAAGGGTACAGTTCAGTGGTGTTAAATATATTTAGAACATTGCCCAGCCATCACCACCATCCATCTCTGTAACTCTTTCCCTGTTATAAAACTGAAACTACACCCATTATACAATAATCCCCTATTTGCCCTTTTTTGCTACCTCTGGCAACCACCATTCTGTTTTGTCTCTATGACTGTGTCTACTCTAAGAACCTCATACAAGTGGAATCATACAGTATTTGTCTTTTTGTGACTTGCTTATATCATTTACTATAATGGTCTTGGGATTCATTCACGTTGTAGCAGATGTCAGAATTTCAAGGAAGGTTTGTTTGGTTACATGTCAAGCATGTATCATGTATGCCTGACGATAGTGATGGAGCCAGGCAAAAGGAAATGGAAAAGGAGGACTTTAAGATGACAGGGGATGGGATCTAGGACAAGAAGACTCAAGCAAAGGAAGATAAGAAGGGGCAATTCTAGATAGGTCTATCAGTCTTGCAATCAATGATGGAGAATTTGAGTTTAATGATTTCCATTTATTCACCAAAGTATAAAGGAAAGTAGTCAGCAGAGTGGAGTGAAAAGGGTGGGTGTGGAAAGTCTAAGAAGTTGGAGTGTGCCTACTAGAGTGCAATCACGTTACTGTGAACCAGGAAAGGAACCTAAGCAGGAGAGCACATCATGCAACTTCATGCTTCCACACTTTGCCACTGCTATTCCTGCTTCTGGGACACACGTCCTTCTTGGCAAACTCCATCTCACAAGACACAGCCCAGGAAACTCCTTTTCTGTGAAACCGTACTAAAGATCAGCTTCCCAACAGTAGATATCACATTAAAAAAGAAAAAAAATCCTGTGTCATCAGTTTCCAGCACCCAATACGTATTTAGTAAAGAGTGACTGACTGGAACTGAAATTGTATTGAATTCTCCCTTCCTAAATCCTAATTTGTTTCTTTTCCATTCCGAGCAGAATTGTCTATATGACACCATCTTAATCAAAAGTCTGAATGAATGACATAAAGTCACGTGACCACAACTAGTTCTCCATAAGCCAATTCCATTTTATTAATGGTCAAATTTTTAGCCTTTAATCTGTGCCCTTCTTCAAATTTGCCACTTAATTGCATATAATAAAATAATAATTGACACTAGTAGCACTTTTTAGTGTACAAAGCATCTTAATTATGTGTAGTGTTCAGACATGTTCCTGAAGGTCACAGATACCTCTTTATCTTGTTTGGAAAAGCTCATCAAGCCACATATCAGCCAATTTTTTATCCATATTAGGAAAAAATTAATATGTAAAGTACTATCAATATTTCTGAACCTCCACTAAAAAATAACCTGATGAGTACACTACTCAAAGAAAACTGAATGTACAAACTTAAGCTAAGAGATTATTCACACTTAAAAAAAGATGTTTCTCATTATTTCTTTTTGTCATTGTTGAGTTTGGTTTGGTTTGGATTTGAGACAGGTCAAAACCTTGGCAATGGTCTCAAACCCCTGGACTGAGTGCTGGGACTACAGGTGTACACCAACACACCTGGCTACTCATGATCCTATCCCTTTCCCTTTCTTTTCTTTTCTTTCCTTTCCTTTTCCCCATTCCCCATCCCTTTCCTTTTCTTTCTTTCTTCCTTCTTTTCCTTCTTTCCTTTCTTCCTTCCCTCCCTCCCTCTCCCTCCCCTCTCTCTTTCTTTCTGTGGTACTAAGGATTGAACCTAGAGCCTTGCGTATGCTAGGCAAGCACTCTACCACTTCAGCCATCCTCCAAGTCCTGGCTACTCACGGTTTCTTTAGATACAAAGTTCTTTTAGTAGAAACTAAATCTGATTGTTTTTTATTCAAATGTGGTTTCCTAGTATAAACCTAGTATATAAAATGTTAGCAGGGACCCAGAAGATTAGCTGGGTGTATGAATTCCCACTAGATTCCCAAAAAGTTTCACTGGAAGGCCTAGAAGCTCTGCTCCAACAATGTCAAAGACTGGGAGGACTGAGTAACCAACAAAATAGGAACCTTGAACTGGGACAGCCAATGGTTGATAGAACCTAGATTCTCACCACTTGAGACTCTTTAGACAAACTGTTAAACTCTGATCATCAATCTCATCTACAAACAGGGAATAATACCTATAAGTGGGATTTTTATGAGCATTAATAAAAGAAGTGGGGTTTGGGTAGTGGAGCTTGGTGGTAGGAGCACTTGCCTAGCATACACAAGGCTCTAGGTTTGATTGCCAGCACAGCTGAAAAAAAAAAAGAAAAGAAAAGCAAATACTAATCACCTATTGTGATTAGTAAGGCTCTCAAACTGGTTTCTGGAGGCAGAGCACAGTGGCTCACACCTGTAATCCCAGCTACTCAAGAGGTAGAGATCAGGAGGATAGCAGTTCAAGGCCAGTCTAAGCAAAAAGTTAGAGACACCCCCCCCATCTCAACAAAAAAAGTTGGGTAGAGTGGTGCATCCCTGTTATTCCAACCACGCAGGAAACATTAGGAAGATCACGGTCCAGGCCAGCCTGGGCAAAAACATGAGATTCTTCTCAAAAATAACCAAAGTATCTGAGCACCATAGCTCAAGATTGTAATACTAGCTAATTAGGAGCCTGAGATTGGGAGGATTGCAGTTCAAGGTCAGCCTAGGCAAAAAAGTTTTTGATAGCCCATCTCAACCAATAAGCTGGGCATGGTGACACTCACCTGCCATCCCAGCAGGCTAGGTATAAATGCGAGAATCTATCTCAAAAACAATCAAATCAGCAGGGTGCAGGTGGCTCATGTCTGTAATCCTAGCTACTCCCTGAGAAGCTGAGATTGACAGGATGAGGTTTGAGGCCAGCTCAGGCAAATAGATCAAAAGACCCACCTCCAAAATTACCGCAGCAAAATGGACTAGAGGTGTAGCTCAAGTGGTAGAGTGCCTGCTTTGTAAGCATGAAGCCCTGAGTTCAAACCTCAGTCCCACAAAAAATAAACAAAAAATCTGGGCACCAGTGGCTCATGCCTGTAATCCTAGCGACTTGGGAGGCAGAGATCAGGAAGATTAC